GAGGCCAAACTCATGGCAAGTCTGTCTACTCAGGTGCCAGGTCAGGGGGTCAAGGAACTGACAAAATCTCATGGACACCTAAGTGGCTGGTGGGTACAGGGGAGGGTCATAGGTGATCAAGTCTACTTGGCAGGCTAACCCATGCAGGTGCTTGGATTTCACTCCCATGTCTCACTAGCTCCAGGGGTAATTGAGAGAATCAAGGAACATCAGGGCTGGAAGTGACCTCTGAGATCATCCAGTCTGTTCTCATATTAGAGAGGAGCAGCTAAGGCCTGGGAGGGAGGGACTCACCCAAGGTTGAACTGTGCAGAGCCAGCACAGATCTCAGGGCTCATGATTTAAATAAAACCTAGTTCTCTTCCCATCAGTGGCAAGTCTCAAATTTGGTTTCTGAAATACATCTCCAAGAATAGGAGTAGGAGTGGGCATAGCCCCAAGTGGCCTCCTGTAAAGTTTGATACTTCATTTGGACAAACACAAGGATTTCCTCTTTCCCTTACCATACAGCCACACTAGTTTCAGTATAAAAACAACTTCCCCCTAATTTTTGGGTAAAACTGGTACTCCAGGGAGCTCTGCCACAACCATCCTGAGGCTCTGCAGTCTAGCCCAGGGAGGGAAAGCCCTGATTTGGAAAGCTCACAGACCTCTGAGCTGTTTCCCTCACTAGTAATTTCATAGTTCCAACAGAGAGAGGTTGGACTGACTAATGTTTAGAGAGCCAGGAACCTTTTTTTCAGCTGAACTATTGTGTGGGCCTTGCATTCCAAGATCCCCAGCTGTTCTGCTGCACAGGCCCTTGTCCTTGCCTACTGAGGTTATTTTCCCAGTGACTAAATGGGTCACAGAGATGAAATAAATACAAGAACATCTGACCTTGGTGGACTAGAAAACTAATTAAAGTCACTGGCAGGCCGGGCGCAGTAGCTCATGCCCAGTAATCTTAGTACTCTGGGAGGCCAAGGCAGGAGGATCACTTGAGCTGAGGAGTTAGAGACAAGCCTGAGTAGCAGTGGGACCTCATTGCTACTAAAAATAGAAAACTTAGCTGGGTGTTGTGGTGAGCACCTGTAGTCCTAGCTACCTGGGAGGCTGAGGCAGGAGGATCACTTGAACCCAGGAGTTTGAGGTTGTTGTGAGTTAAGCTGACACCATGGCACTCTAGCCTGGGCAACAAAGTGAGCCTGTCTAAAAAAAAAAAGAAAGAAAAAGTCACTGGCATGGGCTTTCGAGATAGCATGCCTGTAGTAGAGCTGCAGCCAAAGTAAAGCTGGACCTAACTTCCCACCATAAGGATGTCACTATTTCTTTTTGTTGTTGTCGTTTTGGTTTGGTTTTTGAGACAGAGTCTTACTCTATTGCCTAGGCTATAGTGCCATGGAGTCAGCCTAGCTCACAGCAACCTTAGCCACCTGGGCTCAATCAGTCCTCTTGCCTCAGCCTCCTGAGTAGCTGGGACTACAGGGACACACCACAATGCCTAGCTAATTTTTCTATTTTTAGTAGAGATGAGGTCTGACTCTTGCCCAGGCTGATCTCAAACTCCTGAGCTCAAGTGATCCTCCCACCTTTGCCTCCCAGTGTGCTGGGATTATAGGCATGAGCCATTACCCCCAGATGATATCACTGGTTCTTATAGTAGCCGCCTGTCTTTAGCATAACAAGGGTGAGGACAAACAATTGTCAGTGGTCTGACCCAGGCTGTGGTGCACACCCTGGACAATGATGTGTGAGAGATGAGTCAGGGGAGCTAAGGTAGGGCACAGGGAGCAGCCCAGGCAGAGCCCAAGCACAGGCTGACCTTGTCCTCTAGAAAGGTAAAGTTCTGACAGGAACAAGAGGCAGTTAGGCAAGGCCCCACCACCTAGAGAACGACAAGAGATCATCAGGCCCTGTGTGCTCACCTTGCTGGCATATTGCTCCAGGGCCACCACTGTGTCTGCACTAAAGCCCTCCTCGTCCTCTGCTGCCAGGTCTTCCAAACCCACCTCTGTCTGCACAGCCAGGATGGTGCTGTCTGACGGCACAGCCACAGAGTGGTGAATATAGGCAGTGGAACCATCTTCCAACTGGACAGCTTCCAGGGTGCTGGGGTCATAGCCCTCTATGGGGGAACATGTGGTTAGCTTTGATGCTGCACAAAGGGAAGAGATAAAGCTGGGACTGTCTTTATGTTAGTGACAGGTATACACATCAAAGAGGGTTTGAGCATCAGTTTCTCCTGGCCCCTCATTTGGTGAGTCGCTTTTTTTTTTTTTTTTTTTTGAGACAGAGTCTCACTTTGTTATCCTCAGTAGAGTGCTGTGGCATCATAACTCATAGCAACCTCCAACTCTTGGGCTTAAGCTATTCTCTTGCCTCAGCCTCCCAAGTAGCTGGGACTACAGGCGCCTCCCACAATGCCCAGTTATTTTTTGATTATAATTGTCATTGTTGTTTGGCAGGCCCAGGCTGAATTAGAACCCACTAGCTCTGGTGTATGTGGCTGGCGCCCGAGCTGCTGAGTATAGGTGCTGAGCTGGTGATTCACTTTTTAATTTTATTTATTGATTTATTTTTGGGGACGGAGTCACCCTGTGCCCTGGATAGAGTGCTGTGGGATCATAGCTCATAGCAACCTCAAACTGTGTGGCTCAAATGATCCCCTTGCCTCAGTCTCCCAAGTAGCTGGGACTACAGGTACCTGACACAATGCCCATTTATTTTATATATATATATATATATTTTTGAGACAGAGTCTCAAGCTGTCACCCTGGATAGAGTACCATGGCATCACAGCTCACAGCAATCTCAAACTTTTGGGCTTAAGCAAATCTTTTGCCTTAGCCTCCCATGTAGTTGGACTACAGGCGCCTGCCACAACACCCAGCTGTTTTTTGGTTGTAGTTGTCATTGTTTGGCAGGCCTGGGTTGGATTTGAACCTGCCAGCTCTGGTGTATGTGGCTAGCTGCTGAGCTACAGGCACCAAGCCACACAACGCCCATTTAGTTTTCTATTTTTAGAAGAGACAGGGTCTCACTCTTGCTCAAGCTGGTCTCAAACTCCTGAGCTCAGGTGATCCACGTACCTTGGCCTCCCAGAGTGTTAGGATTACAGGTGTGAGCCACCGTGTCTGGCCTGATTCACTCTGTTCAAGAGACAGAGGTCTCTATATTGCTCAGGCTGGCCTTGAGTTCCTGAGCTCAAGTGATCCTCCCTGCCTCAGTCTCCTGAGCAGCTGGGACAACAGGTCCTACCATGCCCAGCTGCACCTTGGTGACTACACCTTCTGGGGCTGCCTTTCCTAAAGATGAAGTCTCCTATGGGGCACTGACTGGGAACTCATGAGCTCTTTGAAGACCCAACAGGGGGCCATCCCATCTTAGTCTAGAAGACAAGAGCCTGCTGAGCAGTTGCCCCCTTCCCCTCTAGTTCCCTCCACACAGCATAGTATCCAGAGGGATCTTTGCAAGACACAAATGTGATTGTCAACTAACTGCCTAAACAGACATTGCTAACATGTCCAACATTTCCCACTGGTCTTAGCCTGGAACTCAAGCCCCGAGCATTGAGCCTTTCTCTCCGTCATTCTGCCCTCACTCCCAGTGCTCTAGCCTCTAGTAGCTCCTTGAACGGATCATTCCTTCATCTCTCCAGCTCTCGACCTACATATCCTGTTACTTCTGTCTGGAGTACTGAACTCTTCCTGCCATCTTTCCCCTAGCTAAGTCCACCTCATGCCTTACCCATCAGTTTGCAAAATCCCTCCCCAAGCCTGATCCCTATTTGTAACGACTAGTTTGTTTCACTTCTGTTTCCCTCACTAAATTCTAGGAGAGCAGGGAATGTGTCTAGCATTGTTCTTATATACTCCACACCAAGCATAATGTCTAGCATGTAGTAGTCACTCAAAAAACAACTTGTAGAAGGAATAAATCACTATTCCCTAGCACGTTAGGAGCTTCATTCTTTTTTTTTTTTTTTT